CAGGGTTTCTCTGTGGCTTTGGAGGCTGTCCTGGAACTCGATTGGTAGTCCAGGCTGGTCTCGAACTTGGAACTAGCTCTTGTAGACCAGGCTGTCCTGGAACTCACAGAGATCCGCCTGCCTCTGCCTCCCGAGTGCTGGGATTAAAGGTGTGTGCCACCATGCCTGGCTGTTGCTTTGTTTTTAAGATAAGGTCTTGTTTTGTAGGCCAGACTGGCCCAGAACCTACAGCAATTCTCCTGCCTCGGCCTCCCAAGGGCTAGAAGTAATGAGCCATTATCTTCCAATGAGTCATCTCTTTAGTATGTAGTGTTGACTCTTCAACACTGAACTCATGAGCAACAGCAATATAACTGTCTGAACTAAGGTTATCTAACATGGTGGTGCAAGCCTTTAATCCTGGGAGACAGAACAGGCAGGTCTCTGAGTGTGAGGCCAGTCTGGTCTACAAAGCAAGTTCCTGGACATCCAGAGCTACACAGAGAAATCCTGTCCAAACCCCCCACTTCCCAAAAAAGGAGGCCAGGCATCTAACACATACATGTCCTCTGAAGTATATCACCACTTTCTTGTGCTTAGGAATACTAGATAATAGTACTTTAACACCACTGGGGCTACTTGGGCCAACAACATCATTAATGACATGATAATCATCATCATCAACACCAAAATAAAATAAAATAAAACATTTGAATAAAAAAATGTCAGCAGTAATTAGGCTGCTGGGCAAACATTGGTTTATAAGAGCTGAAACATGTTTCTGAGGACAGAGATTCCTCCTAGTCAACACACCTCAGCTGGAAATGTGTGTTAGGCACTTAGAGTTTGTACCTCTGTGTGCATCCTCTGTGAATAATTGCAAAAGTGACACAAGAATTGGTCTTGTGGTTACAAATGAATGTGGTGACTAGGTGAATTCACAGATGTGGAATCTGAATAATGAAGATTGACTATATAAGGAAACCAACCACCTTGGTGAGGTGTAGTCATAGAATTAGAGGCAGTCGGGGTTCAAATCCAGTAACTGCCAAGATCCAAAGCCCGGGGCATTCACCTTTTGCTACTCTATGCTCATTTATTTGTTCATTCTGGATATTTGATAACAACCAGGGGCATGGAAGAATGTGAACTCCCAGAGTTCCTCCTGAGATGAAAAAGAAAGCCCTTCAGAAAAGTGGGTAGAAGATGCTGTTTCTGGCTTCGCCCATTCTTGTGGGAAGCAGACAGGAAAGTTAGGTCTACCCTGCCCTGCTCTAGGGCGAGGGACTTGGGATCTTCCCATTTCTCCACCCTTTAACTCAGACTCTCTCCCTTCTGTCACCTTCCTGTACCTTCAGTCCTTCAGGAACTTCAGGTCCCAGGTTGTGGGGCCTCACCATCCCCCACTTTGCTTTCCTTAACTTTTAGTCTCTGTCCCTATGAGCTGAGCCCCTCTGCGCTTATTCAGGCTCTGGGCCAGAGCCTCCTCCTGGCTTTTTCTGCCTGCCTCCTAAGAGACTCCATTTTACTGTTTAGGCTGAGCTCTGGCTTTACTGCTCACCAGCTATGTGATCCTATCAAGAACTTAAGATTCTGGCTTCTGTTTTTCCTCATATTTAAAATAGGAAGTAAAAAGAAAGTCTAAAATGGGTGTGGCAGCCTAGAATTATAATCCTAGCATGTGGATGGTGGAGGCTAAGAGGATCAGGATTTCAAGGTCATTTTTAGCTTTACAGAGTCAGTGACCAGGCTGGGCTACTTCGGATGTACAATAACAAAAATTCAAACCAACCAAATGAACAAACAACCTAGAACAAACAAACAAAACAGAAAGTCTATTTTATAGAATTGTGCAGAAAAAAAACCCACATTGCTTGTTTAAGGTATGCTTTCGTTGCACATCTAAGGCATATTTTGTCCCGGCGTTGGTGGCGCACGCCTTTAATCCCAGCACTCGGGAGGCAGAGGCAGGCTGAGCTCTGTGAGCTCGAGGCCTGCCTGGTCTACAGAGCGAGTTCCAGAACAGACTCCAAAGCCACGAAAAAACAAAAAGGCATGTTTTGTTAGTATAGTCTGGTGTAGTTCTAGCTGGCCTAGAACTCATAGAAATCCACATGCCTTTACCTCCTGAGTGCTGGGATAACAGGCATGAACCACCAAGCTCAGTCCTTTTGCTTACATTTTTTCTTTTTCTTTTTTTTTTTTTTTTGGTTTTTCGAGACAGGGTTTCTCTGTAGCTTTGGAGGCTGTCCTGGAACTCACTTTGTAGACCAGGCTGGCCTCGAACTCACAGAGATCCGCCTGCCTCTGCCTCCTGAGTGCTGGGATTAAAGGCGTGCGCCACCAACACCCGGCTTCTTTTGCTTACATTTTGAGATGGGCTCTCACTATCTTTTACCCAGAAGTTTTTAAACTTATAGGATCAATAAACCTCTTGCCTCAGCCTCCAGAGTAGCTGGTAATACAATTATGACCCACTGGCTTATTATCTGGGATATTTTTTACCCTCTTCTCTCTGTCTCTACAGCTGCCTCCTTCCTCACAAAGGTAACAAACTAAAAACCCCACTTGCAAGCTGGAGCGGTAACTAAGAATGTTCACTGTTCCTGCAGAAGAGCCTTTAGTTCCCAGCACTCATACTGGGCAGATCCAACCATCTGCAACGCCAGCTCCAGGGAATCTAAGGCTGTTGTCTTCTATGTCTTCTAGTCTTTGCAAGGCACCACACATATGAACGCACGCACGCATGCACACACACACACACACACACACTTCCTTGGCTTTGTTAGAAGATAGAAATTCCCCCAATGTGGGAGGTGGAGGTAGAAAGATGATCTCTGAGCCGGGCGTTGGTGGTGCACGCCTTTAATCCCAGCATTTGGGAGGCAGAGGCAGGCAGATCTCTGAGTTCGAGGCCAGCCTGGTCTACAGAGATAGTTCCAGGATAGTCTCCAAAACAATACAGAGAAACCCTGTCTCGAAAAACCAAAAAAAAAAAAAAAAAAGAAAGAAAGAAAGAAAAAAAAGAAAAGAAAGATGAAAGATGATCTCTGCAAGTTCCAGGACCGCTGGGGCTACACAGTGGATCTTAGGAGAGCCAGGGTTATACAGTGACACCTTTTATTGAGAAAACAAAGCAATAAAAATAAATCTATGCCGCCGGGCGTTGGTGGCGCACGCCTTTAATCCCAGCACTCAGGAGGCAGAGGCAGGCGGATCTCTGTGAGTTCGAGGCCAGCCTGGTCTACAGAGCGAGTGCCAGGACAGGACAGCCTCCAAAACTACACAGAGAAACCCTGTCTCGAAAAAAACCAAAATAAATAAATAAATAAATAAATATATGCCAGGCATTGGTGGCTCACACCTTTAATTCCAGCACTGGGGAGGCAGAGGCAGGAGGATCTCTGTGAGTTCGATACCAGCCTGTTCTACTAAGTGAGTTCCAGGACAGCCAGGACTGTTATACAGAGAAAGACTGTCTCAAAAAAAAAAAAAAAGTAAATAAACAAGCTGGGCGGTGGTGGTCCATGCCTTTAATACCTTTAATCCCAGCACTTGGGAAACAGAGGCAGACAGATCTCTGAGGCCAGCCTGGTCTACATAGTTCCAAGACAGTCAGAGCTACATAGTGAGACTCTGTCTCCAAAAAAACAAATACAAACAAATAAAAAATTCCAGGCCCATAGTCATACAGCTAAGAAATGGCAGAACCAGAACTGAGCCCCTGACCTGAATAATTGGAGAGCAAGAACTTGTGAGGATCCTCTCAATCGGGAATAGTGACCTGGGAAATCAGGGCGGGAGCCGCAGAAAGAAAGGCTTGCAGAACCTTGGAGTGGGAATGTCGCCTTTGTGGGCATACAGTGCCACCTGCTGGCATAATGGCTGGGGCTCTGCACAGAGGAGCATGCATAGAGAACTTGGAGAGGGGAAAAAGAGGAGAAAAAGGTGAGGGGCAAAAAGATGAGGGGAGGCAGTTGGAGAGATGGCCTAGAGGCTAAGAGGTTGCAAAGGACTCTGGTTTGATTTCCACCTCCCACACGGTGGTTCAAAGTCTCCTATAACTCCAGTTCCAGGAGATCTGACGTCCTCTACTGACCTCCAAGAGAACTAGGCTCACATATCAGGGATATGCAGGCAAAAGGATATTTAAAAAAAGATGGAGGGAGGAGAAGGAGGGGTAACCTGAGGTTTTATGGAGGGAAGAAGACAAAGAGCCATTTCCTGTTCTGAGGAGAGAACAGAGATGGCCAGACTGTGAGACAGTGACCATTTCCTTGAAAGAGTGTGTGTGTGTGTGTGTGTGTGTGTGTGTGTGTGTGAAAGAGAGAGAGACAGACACACAGATAGAGACAGAGAGACAGTATGGGTATGTGAGAGAGAGACAGAGACAGAGAGACAGAGAGACAGTGTGTGAGAGAGAGACAGACAGAGAGACAGAGACAAAGATAGAGACAGAGACAGAGAGACAGAGAGACAGAGTGGGTATGTGAGAGAGAGACAGAGATAGAGACAGAGAGACAGTGTGTGTGTGAGAGAAAGAGACAGAGACAGAGAGGGTGCTTGTTTATGTATGTGCATATGTGTATGTACGTATACTTCAATAAATGTGTGTACGTTCACTAGTGTGTACACGCATGTGTGTGCGCACATTCAGGAGTACCAGTCCATGTTATATACATGACTGTGAGTTTTGGGTGTAAAATATGGGTGACAGCCTGAGCAAATATGGGTGCCAATGAACACTGAGGGAAGAATCATATTACACTATCGTGAGCAGGGCACACAGAAGTTCTGAAACGGCATTTGTTCTACTCTTGACTCTGCTGCCCCCTAAACCCCTTTCCTGAGACCTGGAGAGGTAGGGTCTATAGGTGATATTTCCCGGTGGAGACTTGCTTATTGCTTTTGGTGTTGGGAACCTATCTCCAGGCAGCAGGGGGCAGCAGGGGCAGAGGAGGTTGATCTACCATGGGTGGGGCCAGCAGGCCAGCGGGCGGGCAACAGGAGGCTTTTAAAGCACCTGCCCCACCTGTAGGTGAGCAGTGTTGTGTGAGCACTAGGCGATTCCTCATCTTTCTGCCAGCACATTCAGCGGCAGCTTCCTGGAGCTGTTCTGTTTCTTCAGGAGCGCAGCAGATCCTGTTTAGAACCTATTGCCAAGAGCCCTGAGCAGGTGAATGCTTAGGGCCAAGATTAACCTATGAATGGATACCAATGTGGAAACAGGTTTGGGGTGCTGGAAAAAGCCAGGGGGAGGGAACTGGAAGAGTATGAGATTCATCTAGGAAGAGGACTAGGAAAGGTAAGTGTCCTGCAGTGTGGGAGTCGAGCTTGTAATACCTGGGTGAGAATCTGGGAAGGTTAAGATCAGAGAATTAAGGCCGGGCGTTGGTGGCGCACGCCTCTAATCCCAGCACTTGGGAGACAGAGGCAGGCGGATCTCTATGAGTTAGAGACCAGCCTGATCTACAGAGCCGGTTCCAGGACAGACTCCAAAATAACATAAAGAAACCCTGTCTCGAAAAAACAAAACAAAAGATCAGAGAATTAAGTTCTGGTGATGGTACCTAGGTAGTATAGGTGGGCATCGGTGTCAGGATGGGAACTGGGAAAGTTCTTCGATGTCAGAGTCCACACACAGGGTGAGAAATTTGTGAGAAATCACAGGAAAAAGCAGGGCCAGCCCAAGGCAGTGGGACATGAGGCTCTAACGTGTACATGTTTGTTTCCCAGGATCCACCATGCAGTGCTTCAAATTCATTAAGGTCATGATGATCCTCTTCAACCTACTCATCTTCGTAAGTTCCCTGCAAAAGCAGGTCACAATCTAAACAGAGCCCAAGCTGGGGAATAGGAGACTATGTTCCCAGATTCTGCCCTCCAAATTCTCCTTTATAAATAGGAAGCAGAGGGTCTTCCCATTGTTGATTCCTGGCCCCACTAATAGCCTGGCTGCCACATAGGAGTTTGGGTGAAGATGGGGAGGCTAGGGATGGAGAGGCTTAAGGCTCTCACCTAACCCTTCCAGGAAGGATCAGTGTATGCTAACAAGAGTGATTCCTACCCCTGTCCCCCGCCTATTCTTTTTTTTTTTTTTTTTTTTTTTTTTTTTTTTTGGTTTTTCGAGACAGGGTTTCTCTATGGCTTTGGAGGCTGTCCTGGAACTAGCTCTTGTAGACCAGGCTGGCCTTGAACTCACAGAGATCCGCCTGCCTCTGCCTCCCGAGTGCTGGGATTAAAGGCGTGAGCCACCAACGCCCGGCTTTTTTTTTTTTTTTTTTTTTTTTTTTTTTTTGAGACAGGGTTTCTCTGTGGCTTTGGAGGCTGTCCTGGAACTAGCTCTTGTAGACCAGGCTGGTCTTGAACTCACAGAGATCCGCCTGCCTCTGCCTCCCTAGTGCTGGTATTAAAGGCATGTGCCACCACCGCCCAGAAAATTTTTATTTTATGTGTATGAGTGTTTTGCCTGCATGTATATATATGCACATATATATACTATGTGTGCCCTCAGAGGCCAGAAGAGGGTATTAGATTCCTTGAAACTGAGTTACAGTTATTTGTGGTCAGCCAGGTAGATGCTGGGACCCAAACCCAGGTCTTCTAGCAAAAGCAGCAAGTGCTCTAACCACTGAGCCATGTCTCCAGCACCCGTAATTCTCCCTTTTTAAAGATGTATTCAAGGTTCAGAGAGGACAAAGAGTCTGCTTAAGTTAATAGTGCAAAAGTGACTAGCATACATGGAAAAGTTGAAAGGAGAGCAAATCCATGCCTCTTAGAGCTGAGTCTAGCAACCCTGTGTGTTCAATAAACATCCGTTGAGTGGGCTGACATTTAAGGGACTGGGATTGTTGCTCAGTGGTACAGTGTTTGCTTAGCATGCATGAGGCCACAAACAAAAAGAAAAACTTATTCAATGACTAGGATAGAAGGCAATGCTAGGATAGAAGGCAAGCAAAGCCATTTATTTACTGCCCTTGAGGACCAGTAAACCAAACGGACTGATAATTGTCAAATAGGCTGGATAATTGTTATATACACTGATAATTGCAAAGTGATACTTTCAGATTTACCACCAAGGCTCAGTGAGGCCCTGGAGGGGTTTGAATTTAGCCTAGTAGGAAAACCCTTCCTGGAGGAAGTAGCTGAAGCTGGAAATTTGCATTGGGTGGAGGAGCTGTAAAGTGCGTAGGAAGGCCCAGAGGTAATGAAATTTGATATTGTTTAGAAAACCAGGAACAGATTATATAGGGCTTGTTTGAGAAGCTGAGCCATGAGGTCCAAGTCCTGGAGATAATGACAGAGATAAGAAAAAAGGGGTACAGTAAACAAAGGGGTTCATTGCAGAGGGGTGGTAGAACGAAGAAGTCTCAGAAATGGGTTTGAGCAATGAATGCAAGAAGGAAGGGTCCCCTCCCAAGCTCATGTGTATTCAGTGGAGGTGCTTGGATATTTGGAAGTCATGTGCCTGTGAGCAGCCAATGGAGTTATAGGGGTGGGGCGGAACCCTGGCAACAATAAGGGAAAGTCTATCTTCCACCCGCTCCCCAACCCCGGTGAATATTTTAAACTAAAAGAAAGTGAATTCTTGGAAACTGGAATATTAGAGATGAGCAGAAAAATAACCACCGTGAAGGGGACATGGAACAGCAGGAAGGGAGGGAGGGAGGGAAGGAAACAAGCAGTGTCGGGGCACAAGAGAAGACTGAGGGAAAGGGGAGACAGTAGAGACATGAAGTGTGCACCACTTTAAAGAAATTGGGCACAGGAGTCGGGCAGTGGTGGCACACACCTTTAATCCCAGTCCTCAGGAGGCAGAAGCCGGCAGATCTCTAAGTTCAAGGCCAGCCTGATCTACAGAGTAAGTTCTAGGACAGCCAGGACTGTTATATAGAGAAAACTTGTCTCTGAAAACCAAAGAAAGGCCGGGCGTTGGTGGCCCACTCCTTTAATCCCAGCACTTGGGAGGCAGAGACAGGTGGATTTCTGTGAGTTCGAGGCCAGCCTGGTCTACAAAGTAAGTTCCAGGACAGCCTCCAAAGCCACAGAGAAACCCTGTCTCGAAAAACCAAAAAAAAAAAAAAAAAAAAAAGACCAAAGAAAGAAAGGAAGGAAAGACGGAAGGAAGGAAGGAAAAAAAGAAAGGAAAAAAGGAAGAGGTCACAGCAGGGTAGGTAGTCTCTTTGATTCCAATGCAGTCTGTACCTTGGACTTCCTTTGGTTCCCATGAATTAGGTTTTATTTATATCAACTGAAGGAGTACTAGGATTTCAACTATTGGGACAGCCAGGAGTCTGGCCTGATAGGGTTAAAGGCAAATCCAGTTTGGTATCTGTCCTCTGCTGCCCAAGCCTTGCCAGACTGGGCAGAACAAGGTAGGAAAACCAGGCAGGCTCCTTGAAATTTGACCCTGTAGGCTAGAAGCCCAGCTCACTTGTCCTTAAGCAAACATCCTGGGATACAGACACAATGTATACATATATTTTCCCCCCATCCCAGACTCAGTTCCTTGGCTGGACAATGGGAGCTGGGCACATAGAGCACAATGCTGATCCACCAAAGTCCTAGGGTCAGCAACGGTTTGCTGGGAGCTGTGGGGTCAGGGCCTCCACCGACCCCTCCCCCCAGGGCCTCAAGATTCCCTCTGAGGTTAAGTCTAGGTGAAAAAGGAGTGAGTCTGGCAGCTGCACCCAGGAGGGGAATCAAATATGGCCTTCGGGTGGGTGATCCTCTCAACCCCCCTTCACCTTCTTTCAAAGTTTCGAGCAGGTGGAAGCCTCACCCCGCTGTTACTATAGTGACTGTCAGCCAGCTCAACACTACCACCTGCTAGCTTCCAAGTATCAGAGAACAGAGTTATTCTCGGCACCCACAACCCAAGAATGAGAGACTGGGCCCCTTTTCATTCTTCTTACCTATGTGGCAGGACCCTGATTACAGAAAAAGGAAAGCTTAGTGTAGCCTCTAGAACCCCTGATCTCATTTTTATCTTCCCAGGTGAACAGACTAGTGAATTTGTTATGTGCCCCAGTTCTGGTACTAGTTAATGTTTTGCTCCATGCACAATAGTTTGTTAAAGTCCCTAGTCAAGAAAAGGGAAAGTTTCCAGACTTGATGGTGTGAAAGAGAACCATTTGCTAGCACTGTTTCAAAGCCTGACTTCTGTTCCCAGCTGTGTGGTGCAGCCCTGCTGGCTGTGGGAATCTGGGTGTCTGTCGATGGACCGTCCTTCCTGAAGATCTTTGGACCACAATCATCAAATGCCATGCAGTTTGTCAACGTGGGCTACTTCCTCATCGCGGCTGGTGCTGTGGTCTTTATTCTTGGTTTCCTGGGCTGCTACGGTGCTCACTCTGAGAACAAGTGTGCGCTCATGATGGTATGTCAGACCCAGCTCCCTAGGCCACAACCAAGGGTCCCTTCATCCCTGACATCAGCCTCTGGGGAATCCCAAAAACCTACTCTGGATTCCGGGAGCCTCACCATGGGAACCCCCTGCCTCTTTTGTGGGAGCGGGTAGGGCAAGGAAGGCAAGCCTCCCTAAAACATATTTCCTTGTTTCCACTTAGTTCTTTGTCATCCTCCTCATCATTTTCATTGCTGAGATTGCAGCTGCTGTGGTTGCTTTGGTGTTTACCACAATGGTGAGGCACAGGGATGGGGCAAGGAACTGATCAAAGCCCTAAGAAGTAGGTGGTGGCCCGTGAATGGCTACCTTCCCTTACAGTCTCTTAACTCTGACCCAACCCATCCAGGCCGAACAATTCCTGACGTTGCTGGTGGTGCCTGCCATCAAAGAAGACTATGGTAACCAGACTGAGTTCACCAGCGTGTGGAACTCTACCATGGAAGAGGTAAGGTGGGCTGGGAGGATTTGGGGGTGGAGAGGGAAAAAACCAAGGTCCCATCAATCACCAATCCCATTTTGTCTGCAGTTGAAGTGCTGTGGTTTCAACAACTATACAGATTTTAACAACTCACGTTACTTGGAAAAGAATCACTTCTTTCCTCCTTACTGTTGTTTCAACTCTAACAGTGGGGTATTTGAGGACCCGTGCACAGAGGAAAAGGCCAAGCAGTTGCAAGTACAGGTATGGGCTGACATGGGAGAGTGGGATTACTTTTTTTGTTTATTTTTTAGACAGGGTTTCCCTGGGTGGCCCTGGCTATCCTGGAACTCTCTCAGTAGACAAGGTTGACCTCAAACTCCAGAGAGCCAGCCACCTGCCTCTGCCTCCCGAGTGCTGGGATTAAAGCGTGTGCACCACCACTGCCTTGCAAGGGTGGGATTGCTTCAATGGCTTTATAGCAGTAGTAAATGGGTCAGAGGTAGGACTCTGCCAGTTATAAATACTTCCTCTCCTTCCCGAAGGGTTGTTTCAAACAGCTTCTGCATGACATCAGAACCAATGCAGTCACTGCGGGTGGTGTGGCAGCTGGAATTGCAGCCCTGGAGGTAAGTCAGTGAGGAGACTAGACCTGAGACCTGTACAGATTAGCCCATCTGTGAGGCTTCTCAGGGGAGGATTTCTTTTTTGTTATTTTGTTTTTTGGAGACAGGGTTTTTCTGTATTTTTTGGAGGTTGTCCTGGAACTCACTCTGTAGACCAGGCTGGCCTCGTACTCACAGAGATCCACCTGCCTCTGCCTCCTGAGTGCTGGGATTAAAGGCGTGTGCCCACTGAGAAGGATTTCTTGTTTTCATTCTGGAGCTGAGGACTGAACCCAGAGACCTATGGATGCCTAGCATGTCCTCTACCATCGAGAAAATAGTGCTTCATGAAGCTTTTCAGGGTGGGCAGGAACCCAATCCTTGAGGATCTCATCATGTCCTTTCATGTCTCCCTGTTCCTCCCCCACCAGCTGGCTGCCATGATCGTATCCATGTATCTATACTGCCATCTGGAGTAAGACTGCTTCTTCCTTCCCACTTGCTGCTGCCACATGGAAACCAAGAAGAGGCACTTGGCACAGCTGAGCTGCAGTGACCCCAGTGGACACGAAATTTAACACTTGTTTGGGCTGGAGTGGATTTGCCTTTGCTGCTCTGGACTTTGGACTAAACATGACCATCTCTTTCAGGCTGTGTCTCCCTTGTTCTACTGGTGGGGCTGGGGGGACATCTCTTCCAGAGTCTCTGAAGCAGCCACTTCTGCCCATCTCCTGAGTCTTTTCTTCAATCCTTGCCACTTAGTGTAAAAGTCGCTCTTGATGATCCCAGTACTCCACTGGTGGATGACGGCACTTACGGCCTGGGCATAGTCAAGTCCAGCAAAGTCATTTTGGAAACTACAAACCAATGAAAACATTTCCATTTGGACTGTGTGTACTTGGGTCCAGCCTGCCTAAACTGCACTGATTTCTGTGCAGCTGGAGACTCAGCAGGGTGGAAAGAGGGCTTCAGGCCTGGGAGGGCGAGTAAGAAAGGCCAAGGGGCCCTGAGGAGGAGGAGTGGGGTGGCCTGTATCATGAGAAGACTTTGTCCTCAAAGTTCCCCCTCCTGGTGAAGGGCACTGGACTGGAAAGCTATGAAAGTAATAAGCCTGTGCCAAGTCAAGAAGGGGAGAACAGAATTATTGTCAGGGTTGCAGGGGTGGAGTCACTCTTCGGGTTCCAAGAAGCCCTCCAGGAACCCTGATAAGTAGCTCTAAGCTGTGTGCCCTACTTTGGAGAATCTTAAATCTTTTCTTTGGTGTTGGCCTATCCATTGCTCTAACGATGTGTATCTTTGGGGAGAGGGAGTTGATTTACACATTTGTATTGGAAGAAAACAGGGGAGAGGGTCTCTCCCATTAATGGGAGTATTTATATGTTCTCCAGCCAATCCAGATTTGTGCCCTGAGGGTGGCTGGGCATATTGGGTATGTTCCCATCATCTTGAACAGGAAGTGGGTAGTTGTAGGGTGTGGCCTGGTTGGTATGGTAGCATACTTAGTTTACAGGCTGAAAGTATATTATAGTGAGGCTCCCTATAGCAATGGGCACCAACAGCTCTGGCTCCTTCACCTAGCTGTTTTGTTTTTGTTTTGATTTTTTAATATGTAGTCTGGTTGTTCTAGAACTCACTATGTAGACCAGGTTGGCCTGCAACTCAGAGATCTGCCTGCCTCTGCCTCCTGAATATTGGGATTAAAAGCTGTGCACCATCATACCTAGCCAAGATCTCACTTTTGTTGTTGTTATTGGTATTGTTTTAAGATGGGAGGGGGGCTCTCATGTAGTCCAGACTGGCTTTGAAAAAAATTTTTTTTTGTTTTTTTGAGACAGGATTTCTCTGTATTGTTTTGTTTGGAGGCTGTCCTGGAAGTAGCTTTTGTAGACCAGGCTGACCTCAAGCTCAGAGATCCGCCCACCTCTGCCTCCTGAGTGCTGGGGAAAAATTTTTAAGATTTAATAGTGTTTGATCTGCATGTATGCCCACACACCAAAAGAGGGCACCAGATCTCATTACAGATGGTTGTGAGCCACCATGTGGTTGCTGGGAATTGAACTCAGGACCTCTGGAAGAGCAACCAGTGCTCTTAACCTTTGAGCCCCCTCTCCAGCCCCTGACTTTGAACTTTCTATATATAGCTGAGAATAACACTGACTTCCTGCCTCTATCTCCTAAGTGCTGAGTTTATAGGTAGGTGTCACCACACCTGGATTTTTATATGGGATCACATAAAACCCCGGGATCACACCTAGCCTCATGTATGCTAGGAAGCACACTACTGCTTGAGGTACATTCCTAGTCTTTACTTAGTTTAGTTGCCAGAGTCCCACAGCTTATCAGCTGAAAAGCTCAGGCCAAGGCTTCAACCAGACTGACTCCTGAAACTGGGTAAACCTTGCTTGGCACAGTAGTAGTCCAAAGCAAGGGCAGGCAGATCACTTGAATTCAAGGACAGAGTGGCCTACAGAGCGAATCCCAGGACAGAAATCCTGTTCCCCAAATAAGCAAACAAAACTGAATGTGACTGAACTTCAAGAGGCAGCACTAAAAAGGCTGTTGGCACAGGATAGTGGCTCCTACCAAGCAAAGCCCGGTTTGACTAATTGGCTCCCCTCCTCCCTTCCCTTTGACTCTCCCTACCACCCATCTGTCTCTATGGGCTTTTCCAGAGACGTCCACAGCTATCACCCATTTGTTGGGCCCAAAAAGCAGCAGAAACTTGGCCAGACTGAGAATCTACTAGAACTCTAGGTGGGGAGAGAAACTAGTTGGCATCAACCCTTAGCCAGCATTCTGTGCCTCACACAACCACTCTATTCCTCCACAGGTACAGGGATGGGGATGAAGGTGACTTATTTGCCCAGGGAGGGCTTCATCATGGACTAATGGACTAACTGTTACTCCTGTGCCTGCTCTGCCACCTGAAACACTAGCTCCAGCAAACACTGTAGTCAGGGTGGCAAGAAATCTCAAAGGCACGGGCACTGATGCCATTGAAGTGCTGAGCTCTAGTAAGAGAGGCCGACACAGCCAACAGATAAAGGGCAGGAATTCCAGTAAGTTCCTGACTCCTTGGCAAAGGATCTGTAACCTTTCTTACAATGTAATCTACTCAGGTCCCGATCTTAATCCTTCACAGACTTATTTTTAAAGGTCATGTTCCCCTGCCTTGGGCTATCTGAGTCCCAATGGACCACACTGTCCATTTTTTGGTGACTAACTCAGACTTTCCTATGCTCTTCTGAGTTACTAGCCTCTTGAGAATCTGATGAAAACCATAGCCCTTTCCTCCAGAAAAACATCCCTATATGGAATTCTGCACACAATTCCCTTGCCACAGAAACCCTTGCTCTTCTATCTGCCACCCAGCATCCTACAAAATCATCTCCCACACCCCTGGGGCCACCACTGCTTTTGGCCCAGTCACTTCCCGTCTCCATTATTTACCTGCTCTCCCGTTCCCTCATCCAACCCTAAGTATTCCTTTGTGGTCTCTTCTAGCTACTGCACTTTGGGGGACTGGTGCTGGGCCCAGAGCAACAAAGAAGGGACCAGCCTGATGGTGAACAGTGAGGAAGGGGTGAGACGGCCGCTTGGTGCTCAGGCTAGAATAGGGAAGGGATAAAGTCAGCTGGTGCCAGGGTGGAGCCTGCTTAAACAAACAAAAACAAAAGGCTCGAAGCTAAGGCTTGGGCATCCCCTGGTGGCCAAATGGCTTCCACAATAAGATAAAACTATGGCAGACAGTAAAAAAAAAACAAAACAAAACACCTCACCATCCATTCAGATGATTCTCCCCCTCACCGCCACACTGTGTTCCCCACAAAGCTACCACAAAACACACCCCCAGAGGTTTTCTCCTTTTTTAATCAATGACCACCTTTGTCCAGCTTTGGAAATCTGGACAAAGAGAAGGCTGAGAGGCCTGGTCCAGTGTCTAAGGGTCTCTGAGTGAATCTGTCAGCACATGGACCCAACTGGGCCTGTCATCAGTTGGGCACAGCAGTTTCCTGAGTATGAGCCAGTCCCACCCTCAGGGCAGTGTCCTGGTCCAGAGGGGAATAAAGGCCGCAGGGTCGGCCTATTTCCAAGGCCTTCAGGACGGTCAATAAATAGGTTAGATTCTGAGCCAGGCCTGGAAGGATGGGGTGTAAAAAGGGCAGGGTCAGCTGCCCAGAGATCCAAAAGAGGTCCTGGGTACTCTCCTGCCCTTCTCCAACAAGGAAGTAATAAATAGACCTTAACCTCAGGAGCAGGGGTGTTGGATGAGGGATCCTTCCCCTCAGAGTTAGTAATTAAATCTCATGTTAAAAACAAACCAGCCCTAACCCCTACCAGCATCTACAAAATCCTACAGGATAGGGCAACGGGCTAGCCTGCCTGGGGGTACACAGTACCCAGCCCTGCAGGGTCCTGGAGGAGGTTTCATGTTTGTTCAGCGGCCCCTGGGGCTCCTTCTTCCTTTGGGGGTGGCTCCAGGAAAATAGGGGTGACTGATGGTGGCTTCTTCACTCTGAAATGTAACAGAAGAAAGATACAGAGGAGAGGACATGCTTCGACCCCAGGAGGACATTTCCTAGAGTAGAAGGGGTGACTCACGAGTAAGGGGAGGCTGGGACCCCCACCACCAAAAAGTGGTTCTTCTTCCGAAATAATCTCCACAAGCCCTGGTGGTTGCCACGAACATCCAGGTCCCAAATATGGAGGCACTGGCAGGGACAGAGTAGAGAAAGAGATGGGTCAGGAAGCTGTGGAGATGGCTCACTGAAGGCCTAGCCTCAGTCTTCAAGAGCAAACATCCTCTGGAGTATGGATTTGAGCAAGGGGCTAGAAGAGAGGTCCTGTGTGTGTTTTTTGAAACAGGGTTTCTCTGTGTAGCCCTGGCTCTCATGGAACTTTCTCTGTAAACCAGGCTGCCCTTAAACCTAAGAGATCTGCCTGCCTCTGCGTCCCCAAGTGCTTGTATTAAAGGTAAGCACTCCATACAACCACACCTGGCCAGGAAGCAAGGCTCTTGAGAGCATGAGAAGGTTTTGAGGTTGAAAACTCTACAAAGACCCTCTGCTAGTTGGGACAATGCAGGGTGAGGGTACTCCTGAGGTAGGTGAGGCCCTGGGGCACCTTGGCAAGCTGAGTCCAGGTGGTGAAGTCATCATCTTTCTCCATTCGGATGAAGACCACATAGGTGTGGCCCTCTGTGTCTGGCAGAAAGGAGTCTTCACAAGGGTCCTTGCTGTGGTCCAAAACCTCGGCTTCACTGCATTGAGGGCAGAACAGAGAAGTAAGACCAAGACAGGACACACTTTCTAGGTGTGGCACACAGGGCCCTAGGCTTGATTCAATGCTCTGTTGCTACCATTTTGAAATTCTTTTTTTTTTTTTTCCCAGACAGGGTTTCTCTGTGGCTTTGGAGGCTGTCCTGGAGCTAGCTCTTGTAGACCAGGCTGGTCTCGAACTCACAGAGATCCGCCTGCCTCTGCCTCCCAAGTGCTGGGATTAAAAGTGTGTGCCACCGGCCGGGCGTTGGTGGCGCACGCCTTTAATCCCAGCACTCGGGAGGCAGAGGCAGGCGGATCTCTGTGAGTTCGAGGCCAGCCTGGTCTACAAAGTGAGTTCCAGGACAGCCTCCAAAACCACAGAGAAACCCTGTCTCGAAAAAACAAAACAAAACAAAACAAAAAAAAAAAAACAAACAAAAAAAAAGTGTGTGCCACCACTGCCCAGCCATTTTGAAATTCTTAATAATGTTTGCACTAGAGAACTCTAGTTTTCATTTTCTACAGTGCCCATAAATTGTCCTACCCCTGCCAGGCATCCCAATAGTCCCACATACCTGAGCAGTCTGTGAATTTCCACTTCATAAGCTTCTTTCTTCAGACTGAAGGGGAGGGAGAAATGAGTCAAGGGAAGGCGAGGCCCTCAGGTCCATGGAAAGGAATGGGCAGGGCAAAGGGTCACATGGGGAAAAGGCCCAGCAGGGCTGAGGTAAATACCCAAGGTCCTGGACAGGAAAGAACTAGCAAGGACTGGCCATCAAGCCTTCAGATATCCACCCCCTTGGCTTGCTGCCAGTCTCTACCTGTCTACATTCCTGAGCTGGACACCTGGAACCGTGTTAAACTTGTGCTTCTTGAAGTAGGCCTCCTGAAACAGCAATGAGGATAAAAGTCAAGGCTTTTAGTCTGCTCACTGACCCACTACAGAACTACAAGCCCCAAAAATGAAGTACTAAGCCTGGAAAGGGCTCTCTGATTTCCTCCAGTCTCCATTTTCTTTTTTGGTTTTACGAGACAGGGTTTCTCTGTACTGTTTTGGAGGCTGTCGGTCCAGCCTGGCCTCGAACTCACAGAGATCCACCTGCCTCTGCCTCCCGAGTGCTGGGATTAAAGGCGTGCGCCACCACCGCCCGGTGCAGTTTCCATTTTCTTTGCACCATCTTTGATAAGCTTTTGCTAGCTTTAATCTGGGCTGGACCCTTGGCTTGTGTTACTGACCCATGAACTAGTCCTGTTCCCATTGGTTTTTCTCAGGTTTGCTGCAGAGCCTTAGAAATAAAGAAGATGGAGGCTGGAGAGTCAGAGGTTCAACAACAGTCTCAGCTACACAGTTTGGAGACAGCCTGCCTAAAAAATACAAATCAAGGGCTGGAGAGATCGCTCAGAAGTTGAGAGCATTGGCTGTTCTTCCAGAGGTCCTGGGTTCAATTCCCAGCAA